TCGGCCAAGGGTCCACAATGCCGAACTGCAAAGTCCGTCGTGTGTCGTGTTGAGCCCGTCGTGCGGAGACCTGGAGCGGTCACGTAGTCCGTGTTTTGCTAACACGTTTTGTCCTAGGGGATGAGCCATTTGGCCAGCAGGAGTGGTTAGACATTGTGCTGGTTGAGTTGGAGAACAACCATCTGAGATAAGCAGGCAGTAGAAGAGGTGGCGTTGAAGGTAACTCCACGGACAAGGTGTAGTCTCGTAGAAGTGTGTGCTGCTTCCGATGTGGTGCTTCCGATGTGAAGTGCATGCTGCTTCCGATGTGAAGTGAATGCTGCTTCCGATGTGAAATGTTGTTGCCTGGAATTGCCGCAAGTTGCCTGGAATTGCGCGATCGGATGGCGGGGGTCAGGGCTCACACAATAAGTACTGCTTAGCGTGAGCGCTGATCCCAGAAATCCATTCATTCAAAGGATTTGGACGAAATTTATAAAAAGTGCATGCTGCTTCCGATGTGCTGCTTCCGATGTGAAGTGCATGCTGCTCCCGATGTGAAGTGCATCCTGCTTCCGATGTGAAGCGCATGCTGCTTCCGATGTGCTGCCTCCGATGTGAAGTGCATGCTGCTTCCGATGTGTCCTGTTCTGTTCCGCTTGTACACGCTCAGGCAGCGTGACACGTCACACGTGTGTGCATGCATAGCCGCACGAGACCCATCTGACACGAGACCCATCTGACACGGCTTTTACGGCCCGTGGGACAAAGCCGTCAGCCAAAGCGCAGCGGCCTGATCCTGGTCAGACAGCAGCAGGGCAAACGTCAGGCGACGAAAAAATAATCAATCGAACCGTAAAACTCTATCCTGACTCATTGACTTTCATGCGTAAGAATGGGTCCAAGTTTGCGCTAATCCCCAACGTAAGCCACAACGTGATTAAACAAGTGGAAGGAGGTTTAGAGAGGGCAGGCTTTCGCTCTGCGCTAAAAAATCTGAATTTGAGCGGACGAACGCGCCGTCTAACACCCACACGGTCCCTGAACCCGAATCAAACAACACACACCACTCTGCACAAATATTCAACCTCCAGACAGATATGTGGATCTCTTGACACGCAGCCGGTTGCCCGTTCAGGTACGACGCGCTCGGGTGGGCAAGGACCAATTGAATACCCCTCTGAGATTTAAAAAAAAAACTTAGACAGCTACTAAATTTAGAAAGTAAACGATCAGGGCAGGTAGGAATGTATGTGAGCTCATTTGTGTCAAAATTTAGTTCCCTAGGTCGTGATCGCCGGGTCCAATAAGGTCACACAAGCTCAGTCATTAGACTGATGTCCAAAATACCACAAACTTCCTCGTGCAACTGCCCTGAACCTAGATACCTATTCCAAGAAAAAGGTCACTGGCATCGATTTCAGGTCAGAAGCCTTGTTTGACCTTAAGGTCATGGTGACCAATGGTCATGGTGATATACGCTACATCGTATGTCCTTAAAACAGTAGGTCGATGAGGGTCACTTAGGACAGCAGTCCCCTCTGAACTTCAATAAGTCCAAGGAAGATGTCTGTTGCCGTCCGTGTTATCAAGAAATTCGAAATGAGCATTAGAAGCCACCCTATAAAAATAAGAAACGGTGTCTAATTGGATGCCTTTTAATAACTAATGGATGAAACGTGCACGTTTTCAAGGGTAGTATGGTCATGAGAACGGTTTCGTGGTTAAAAACCTGTGCTTAGCTGGTAGGACGGGAACATTTACGACCCCTCAGACTACCCAGTGCACTGTGAAAGTCAAATGACGCAATGTCCCATACACTTTGAGCATCATTTCTTTAGGTACGTAGGCAGAATCTTCGGGGCAGGTTTATACCAAGTGAAGACTGATCACTCGGTCAGCCATGGCGTCCCAGCTATTGACGTCATACTTGAGCACCATCGGGGCTGTAGCTCAAGTGGGAGAGCGCTCGCTTAGCATGTGAGGGGATCGATTCCCCGCAGCTCCAATCGTAGCTCTTGGTTTTCACACCGCATGCACCCTACATTTTTTTCTCGTTTTTTCTCCTACATTTTTTTCGTTTTTCGGATTCGTAGGCACCCTACAAACCCAAATGGGGCATATAGCGCTGCTGGATGTACCCATTGGCAACCCGCCAAACGGAATACGCTTAAACGGATAAACATAGAAGTTTGGTGCTTAGATAAGCCAGTATGAATAGCATTATTCCCCGGAGACAAACCTGGAAAATGGAGATATGGATGCGTTGATCTTTCTGCAACGTGCCTTTATCGAAACGAATAGCAGAAAAAGATTACCTCTGCTTTATCAAATGCCATTATTGCCTTAATGCCCGTAGGTAATTCACACGCCTCTATCGAAATATCAACGCATCTACATCGCCCTTCTCGTGATTTTCCTCCGAAGCACAAAGCATAAAGCTATTATATATGTGAATAATGCTCCTCGCAAATGCAATGAAGGACTCACGTAGATCAAATGCTTGATAATGCACATCGTAAAATGCATCAGATGCACGCCAAAACAGAAGTAAAATCTAGGCGTCCAGTAAGCTGGCGCAAACACGTTAAAAACGACTCTTGGCCGACCACACGTAGGCTCACTCGGAATCAAATCCCGGATACTCGGCGCCCTCCCGGCACCCATAACGTCGTGTGGAGAGCGCCTTGTCCCATATCACATTATCTGTTTAGCTGCGGGCTGGAACTCATCTGCCCACCTCAGTATGGGAGAGCAGAGCCTTCCATGTATGGGTCACCTGCTCATCTCAGTATGGGAAAGCCTCTCTTCCAGGCATGGCTATCTCTTCCAAGTATGGCTTTCAGCCTCCCAATGCTTTCTACGTACTTCCATTCTGGGTAGTGGTGTTAGTTCGACGACCAAAGCGCGCAGGGAAAAAATACGTATGCTTAAAGCGCCTCCACAATTGCTTGTTGGAAAATGTATGTAAGACATAAAATTCGTACTATCGCAAAAGTGTGCGCGCAAAGTTTCGTAAGTAAAAATTTGTACGATCGCGTATAGAAATTATCATCCATTGATAAAAGTATGTCATGGTAAAATTTAACATAGCAAAAGTTTGTATGCATACGATACGTACCCAACTGCAAGCACTTTAACGCACGCAATTGTTCGCAAGCAGTTTAACGTATGCAATTGTACATCACGGGAAAAGTTGGGTTGATGAAAGTATGTACACTAGTGTTCATAAGCAACATACGCATAGGAACTGGTGTCCGTGAGTACAATCCCACTTTCCGAGAGGGCTGAACATTAGCCTCCTTCATCCCAGGTTATCTACGCTGCTTCGATTGGTTCGAGTTCATTTGTTGTGTGCCTCAGAGCGCTTAAGTTCATGTCATGAGAAAATGTCAAAAAATTGCGGAGGACGAACTACGCCGGCGAATATATTTGCCCGCTTAGCAAATGGCAAAAGGGCTGTTAGCCCCTCCCCCCCCCCCCCTTCCCCCGAGGAGCGCTGCCCTGGGCGCCTCCGTGGAGTTGGTACACGCAGCTCCCACGTAACCGGAAATACAAATGGTACAAGCGTTAACAGGGGAAGGAATTATTAAGACGGACTTTTCAGATTACATGACTGACGTGTTACAAAGCAATGGAGTTAAAAAGGAACAGGACACACTTGATGTTTGTCCTGATAGGTCAGCGGATTGGGGCACCTGCCTGCCGATCCGCCCTCCTCGTCCTGGCCCGCCTTGCTGCTCGTTGCACTTTTGCCACCAAGTTACGTAGTTGGCCAGGAATTGCACGATCGGTGACAGGGTTCTCAAGCAACTTCGCACAACAAAGCACAAGTACAAAAATCCATGCTCAGCATGAGTTCCGATAAAAAATACACCCATTCAGATTCATTATTAAGAGTCCACCCATTCAGATAAGATTATTAAATGGATTGAATTGTCTAATGTCAAAGGTGTGATAGGTCTATATGTCTAATTGCCTTTTAAACTATCCCAGGGATGCGCAGTTTCTTCTAACACCCCGTTGTCGTATAAGGTTGAGCGGCTCCCTAAGAGTTGCCCTTGCTAATTGCGCTCGCTGACAACCATAGGCTGTATTTCACCCGCCATAGGCTATGGCAAGGTACATCTAATTTCACATCAAAATATGTCATCTAATTACCTACAACTGTGAAGAGTTTGTCACAGCTTTGCCACGCCGTTTGAAAAATAGTCTGGAAAAAACCTTAAGGGTGGGGGCAAATTGCCTGCCCCCCTCCACCTACCCAAGCTCGTGTTTAGGAACAGGTACGTTGCATTTACGACCCGTCCATCATGGGTGCATCGCTGAGCCAGACACTGAACAGACCAAAAACTGCAAATCCTCATTGCTCGGACGACCTTGAGACGGGTCTGACGAAAATAACCTGACGCCTCAGTGAGCGCATGACAGGGCTGGAGATGAGTTCGGAGGCCGACAGCTGTCCGGCGCGTTCGGCTCGGGCGACGCTGTGTGTTGTGCCGAGCGTCCCAGAGGAACGGCGCTGCGCCGTATTGAGGTCACGCGCCCGCACGCTACCCCCGAAACGTCGTCGGTCAGCTGACACCAAAACAGCTCCCCATAAACGGCTGCGCAGTAGCCGGCGCGCGCCAGCGCCAGCGCCGTAGTATAGTAAATGCCATAGTACGAACGTCACGGGTGGCCGTGGAAAGGCCGGCCGGCTCGACCAATGGGCGCACGCGATGGTGGCGGGCCCTCGCGCGCCGTCTGTTCGCGAGGCCGCGCGCCTTACATCAGCCGATTCATCAGCTGCGCGCGGCGCGGCGCGCAGCCGGCGCGCAGTTGACTGGGGCCGCCGCCAGATTACGTCAGGCGCCGCGGTAAAAGGCAGGTGCGGCGGCCTGGGAGCAACAGTCGCCCGCCAGCTGTCTTGAGAGGAGGACGCGCCCCCTCGCGCAAGAGCCGCCCACAGCAGCGCAGAGTGCTAGAAAAGAGAGAGCCTTTAGGGAGCCGACATTGCAGCAGTGTGTTGACGGTAAGTTTATATTGCGGCACGGGGTCGGATCAGTTGTTCGAGTTGCCAGTGTTTGCTATGGTGGGGCGGGACCGAGGTTACTGACCTCAGTGGGCCGGCCGCCGAGAAGGACGAGGGTCGGACGGCCGGGCGGGGAAAGTGGGATCCAGTACATGTTGGAATAAGGTGTTAAAGTTATTCTTTCCAAGTTGATCGAGGGCGGCGTTATTGACCGGGACGTTTCTGTCTGGGCAGTCGTGGTATAACAACACACTGGTCGAGATGATAACAGTTAATGACAATGTATTCTCGTTACAGGTTGGTTGAAATTCGAAGTGACTGAATATGACTAAAGAGATCATGGAGTCGGCTGCTGAACGTTCTTCAAGCCAACAGGTGAGACAGCTCACATTTCTTTCAGCACTCTGTGACAGCCGTAGATGGGCTCTCACGACAGTTCTCCAAAGTAGACAATGCCCGTGGTAGATCATCTGAACAGCTGCTACTGCGCTTTCTGGATTGTCTTTAACGGGCCACCGGCGCACACCATATGCTTTGGCCGTGACCACGCACCCCCATCCTGCGCGACCTCTCTCGTGTCCCGTACCACCGCCTGACGCGCCCTGCCGTCCTGCAGGTGCTCAACATGGCCGTGTCGTCGTTCGAGACGCTCTCGGCGCTGCTCGGTCTGACGGCCTACATCGAGCCTGCACTGCGGGCGAGGTCGGCGGCTGCCAAGCTGCCCGCCTTCACGCTCGACCAGGTGTCCGAGCACTGCTGGGTGGACGACTGCTGGGTCGTGCTCTACGACCGGGTGTACGACGTGACCCGCTTCCTCGACGTCCACCCGGCCGGCGCCGACATCCTGCTGGAGAGTGCCGGCAGGGACGCCACCAGCGCCTTCCGCGGCGTCGGCCACTCGCAGCAGGCGGTGGATGCCCTCCTGCAGTACCAGGTCGGCGTGCTCGTGGACGCAGAGTGTATGTGGCCCGCCTCCAAGTAACGTCGGCTGGGGCGCGCAACACTCTCAGGGACGACCAAAACACGACGTCGTGATCGAATCATCTCATCGGAGCGGTGGAACGCGGGCGATTTTGACCGCGTTGTATGCACTTCCATACGCTATTTATTGTTGTGTTGTTTTTGTTGTTGCAACATGTGCCATCTCATCTACTCGTTGAAAAATAACTCATACAAGAACATGTGACATTGTTGTCTTATTATCCTGTGCGCTGAATATTGGAGGCGACAACTGACACATTTGTTTGCTTCGCGCCGCATACTTTCGACGGGAACGGAGGCCAAGATCAAATGATGGAGAGAGTCAGATGACATGAGGTCGCGTAAATGTGAGGGGGCCAGTAAGACGCCCTGCACGGCGTGACATGGGTACAGGCAATAACAGAAAACATCTCTTAACAAATTCAACACAAACCCCACGGTGCGAGCCCTTCCAGCCAGAGTGGGAGGCAGGCGGCACCATACAGCCTCAGCAGCTGACTGCGTCGACAAATGACGCACATGCACAAGTTCAACACGTGTCAAACTGGGCAAACATTTAAGTTATATCAAATCATGAGCTTAACTGTAAAATAACGCAAATACTTTCGGTTGATACTGGTCGCAGTAAGGAGGGTTATACGCCGGTGCAATTATCATAGAGTAAGGTCCCTTGGTCAGCCTCCTATGTCTTCTTGAGATCGGTCTGGAAACACTAACACTGGCCACTTTCGGTCGATTGCTGCCGGGGTTATGCGTAGGACAGTTTTGAAATATGTTGGCGGGGATGCACGCTGACGGTTCGGACAGTCGGTCCGCGCGACAAACAATACTTTTGATGGTGAAGCCGCGTCGCGTTGTCGGCTCTCTGTCTCCACCTGCTCCGGTTGCTAAGGCCTGACCTTCCTGCACCTTTGCCCGTGTAAACATCCGTTTCTTCTCCGTCAATTTTCCTTTTCGGTCTCGTGTCGGTTTGTCGCTGGTTCGTCGAGACCCCTAGGCACATTCTTAATATTTCCACATACAATTTATCATGCCAAATATATCTACCGTCTCAGTTATAACCCAATCTGTCTATGCTTGGTAGTCGTCCAGCCCAGTCTGAAGCCGCAATTGTCGCCAAAAACATTGCGGTTTCTTTATCTGATGATTCGGGCGCTTTCAGCAACCCTCATCAGGTCATCGTCAGTTGCTCCGCCCAACAACGAGAGGGCCGCGGGAGCTCACAAAGGTTTAGGGAGGAAAACACCTTTGGTATCCACTTTTACGTGCAACTCCTTGAACGTCATAATGAATTTGTAAATAAATTTTGAGAGGCCAATGCTACTTTTTGCTAAGAGTGGAGGAATCGCTGTCCAGCCTCGCTCCAACTTTTTCCTGACACCCGACAGCTAACTTTTGAATGCTGTCACGCAATCTATTCATTTGCTGCCCAAAAGGAGCTTCCTCTCATTCTTTTAAACATTTCATTTCGTCAACAATGTGACGCAAACCTAAAGACTGCAGCATAACAACAACGCAACGCATTTAGGCAAGCATGGTACGCATCCCCTTTATCTTTTTTCGACCCTAGTATTAAGCGTACTGTTCATGTGATACCTTCTCATCAACCGAACACAGGAGACGTAACTGATGTCCCCCCCCCCCCTCCCTCCCTAACGCAGCACCAGCAGTGTGAGTTAACACGGCCACGTCTCAGACTTTATTGAAACTTAGTGCATCGGGTTATCTAGTGCGTAGAACCCACCTGACGCTCACCAGCTAGCTCTCTTTCACCTATTGGTTCACGCACACACACACACACACACACACACGCACACACACACACACACACACACACACACACACACACACACACACACACACACACACACACACACACACACACGCACACACACACATATATATATATATATATATATATATATATACATATATAGGTTTATGCATATTTATATATGTATACACAAAATATTTGCGTCGCAACACCAATAAATATATATTAAATGCTACCAACCCACAAATCTCTAGTATTGCAAAGATCTGGACCGTGGGACTTAAGACAATTCCCCTTGGTCAATTTGGAAAAAGTGACGATGTGACCAGGGCCAAAGTTGTGCTTGATTTAGGTGTAAATTCAAGCAGTAGGATATTTCCTATTTGAGGCGATGAATTTCATTGTCAAGTGGAGGCTGCACGTCGTACAGCCTACCAGCTTGAGAGCCAGGAAAGAGAGCATTCCAGAGGGCCATCACAAACCGGTGTTGCCACCGTTGCGCCACTTTTGGCCCTCGGGTGTAGTGACGTGAACGCAGTGCCACTAAATCACTTCCACTGTCCACGTCCTCCCACCTCTAATAAGCAAAAAAGACCAAAAACACGCATCACACGACTCGGTTGTAGAAAAAATTGGTGCCAACAGATCTTAACAGACATCACGCGCTGCGATGACCTCGAGACACCAGAGCAGCGACTCTGACAGCCGCTACTTTGCAGTGTTGGAACGTCCAGTATTGTCGGACTCTGGCCACAGGCAATCGTGTGCAGAGGCGTAATGATCGGTGTCGGCCGCCGGTCGGTTGCGGTCAACTTGGCCCTCGGTGGGTGTCCCGACCCGCTGTCGATCAGCTGTCGGCTGCGGAGTGCTCCACATTTGTATGTTTTGAACTGAAATAACCATCTTGAAGATCATTTCGTGCAAATCACAGCCTTGTCATCTGAAAGGGAATGCTCAACATTGAAAGATGTTGAACCACGCATCAGATGATAAAATGGGCTCATTTGTAACTATTGGTATACTTCGAAAAGACTGCTCCAGACAAGACCATTTCAATGTTCCGTAAACATGCTGCTGAATAAGTCATTACTTGATTACGTCATCGTACCACGCACAGCAGTGCCTTTAAGATACAAACTCCTCTGGTTTCTGATCTAAACGCCCGCGAAGATGTGCGGATTATTTTTTATAATATTTTAAGGTCACTCAAGCATCCATGACGCCACTGTAACGTCATCAAAGCCTTGTCATTCTATAATCCATGCGGTGACCAAGACCAATAAAAACATAATTTTCGAGACGCCCATATCCGGAGTTCAAGACAACTATTTCCAGATATATCGGACTTTAATTGGCTCCCAATCAGTATTGCGCTAGGTACGATGACGTAATCAAACAATGGCGCATTAAAGAAGCATATCTACTAAACAGACGAATTGTGCTGTCCACAGCAGTCTTTTATACTTAAAAGCATATCAATAGTTATATGTGAGCGTTTTTATCATACGTGATCCTTGCCTCAATATATCCAAATGTGGAGCATTGTCTTTCAAGGGAGTCGTCCACATTTGCATGGGGCTTTAAACTGAAAAAGCCGTGTTGAAGATCATTCGATGCATTTCACAGCCCTTCCCTCCTTAAGACCTAGAAGCTGTCTGGCTTTTGAGCCACACGTCCGCGAAGATGTGCGTACTTTTCGGGGAGACTATTTTAAGGTCGCCCAGGCATCCATGACGTCGCAAAAACGTATTTCAAATCCCGCCATACCATTGTCCACACAATGGTGAAGGTCAGCTTAGATATACATGTCGAGTCGTTCGTATCTAGCATTGTGAGCACGATTTCCAGATATAACGGCCGTCAATTGGCTCTTAATCATCATTGTGCAAGGGACGATGGCGCAATCAAACAATGATGTGTTGATAAGCACATTTACTCGATAGAGAAGTGGTGTTTCCTGCATCAGTCTTTTCCGCGTACAAACATGCCAACGGTTCTAAGTGAGCTTTATCATCACGTCTGACGATTCTTTCAATGTCTTCAAACGTGGAACAATCCCTTTAATGAGCCCTGAGAAGGAATATAGAATGATTGGCAGTTAGCCACGAATGCGTTTCAACCCGAATTCTTCCCTTCGAATTGCTACGAATCAAACCAGGATCCTCTGGATTGTGAGTCCAGTTCTCCACCAACTGAGCTAACCGGTTAGGATATCCCACATTAAAGGGACAGTTTTGATCTTGTAACAATGTAAAAGCACTTTGCGGCATATTTCAAGAACCTTTTTTGTGAAATATCAGGCTACTTGCGTCTGGTAGCAGCACTGGGTTGTGCCACTACCGTCAAGACGTAACAAGGATATCTATTTTAACTATTTTCGAGTCCTAGTTACGCTGCCAACGCTCTGCAGCAGCACCACGCTGTTTCCCTGCAGTCACGATCAACATTATCATGACCAACCGTGCACACCTCTACTGGTGCGAATAAAGAACCCTTGTGAGTGGCCCAGTGGGCAAGTGTCCCTTAACGAGAAGCTGATTGATTAAAGTTTTGAACCAGTGCGTCACATGAATCAGGTGATACTTCCGTTCCCAAAGCTAAAGTGCACTCTGAAAGAGTCGCTATGGTAACCACCATGGGGAGAAATCCTAGCCATAACATTGCATTTCGTTGAAATCACAGGATAATAGCTTTATGCCGGCAAATCTTTTTGTGTTAAGTGCTTCGAGCTTCCGGAGCATTGATTTTAAAAAAATTGAGACGCTAGTGTTTTGCACGCATTACAGAACACACACTTTGAAAAAGGAAGGTAAATTGCAATGCATTACTTTCATAGTGGTAAGCGGGAGTCGGGTGAAATTTCCCCTGCAGGGTCGGTTGCTTCAAATTCCCAGCTGCTCAGAGGGTTTCAAGAAAACTGGTGTTACTGATCAAATCGTGCGCGCCTGATACAACAATATCAAAAGTTCAAACAAGCTGTGATACTCCCTTTAATTGACCAAAATGTTGTGCACATAATAACGCATCACACGAGGGCGATAGTCGACATAATTATTCCATCCTTGAAACGCTACCCTTTTCCCGCTATAGCAGATATTTTCAGCTCAGCGCATACCGCAACATTACCTTGCAGTTTGCGACTACTTGTTGGCACTGGCTAGACGGCCACCTGCCACAGCTTCGGACTCGCACGGATAGTCCGCATCCCCCCCCCCCCCGAGATCGTCGCAGCTTTTCCTGGGACCCCCTGTAGCGCCCCCTCCCCGTTACCCGTTGTCCCACCTTAGGTGCGTTCGCAGTGGCCCGGACGACACAGAACCTTTGCCGTAGACGTCATTCACGAGGTCACACCTCGTAGCTTCGGAGCCTTTTGGTGTTTGCAGCGATCAGGACAGGAGTTCTGCGCGACGCAAGACGACGGCGCACGCGCAGACTGCTTCAGTCACTTGATCGAAGTGAGACAGAAATGACGCAGCTGGTTC